TGTATTAATTCCATTATAATAAAAACAGTAAATAAAGTGAAATTATCCGCTACCGAAGTGATATAATGAAGTACTGTAATAGAAACAAAACTTTAAAATAAATTAAATAATAAAATTAAAATTTATAAAATTTAATTTAATTTTAAATCGATATTATCTTTAATTTATCGAATTTTCTTCCATTAGTTTATAATTAAATTGTCTGAATAGTTCTTTCTATTATTATCTTGTATTATATTACTCACCTTTATTGGAAGCAATATTCGTCTTTTTTTATTGAAAATTTATTAAAATTTTAAATTATATACAAATAAAAAGAAGAAAAAAAAAACAGTATTTAGATTAAATATACATTAAAATCTATTTCAAAAAATAGCAAAAATAATTTGCTAATAATTTTTTAATACAAAAAATGCCATCAGTAACATACAGAAAATTCTCTAAAATTTAATAAATTGTATTAATATAAGGCTTATAAAATTTAATTTAAAAATCTAAAATAAATTTTATATGAAACGTAATTAAATATATTTTACAGCAAATTAACTTATTTATGAAAAGCTATTCAATAATTAATTTTTTAATGTATTAAAGTAATTATGTCTAAACGATGATTGAGTAGATGAGTTATTATTATTAATAAATGTTTAATTTGAATAATAATTAACTATTTGGTGATTTATCTGTAAAGTTTATCATTACTTTTTTATGTATGCAACCTATACATAGCCTATATATTTTTTTTATATACGTAATCTTGCAAGGTATAGTAGCATATATATGCTACTATGCCTTGTAAGATACACATTTTAAACTAAATAAATGTATAAAAATTATGTGTTTCGTCTATAATTAATGAAATTCTACACAAAATTTGAGCTTTTAATTAAGATTTTTAATTAGTTTTCTCTTAATTAAATTACATATTGAGACGTTAAAAATCAAAATTCATACATTCCATTATATACTTTCCAACAATATAAATTTTAGAATGAATTTAAAATTAAATAAAAAACATGGTCAGAATTTATAAATATATTAATTAATAAGCATTTTTTTTTTCTTTTTTTCTGGCATAAATGTCTACTTTCTTCAGCACTTTAACATAGATACCTGCTCTATTTAAATGTTATAATAAGTTAAATAATAATAAATTTATAATAATNTTAAAAGGGAGTGTCCCAAATTACATCGTTTAAAAATCAAATTAAATGCATTCGGGATACGTTTCCCCCCCCCCTTTTAAATTATTATACTTATAAAATTAATTAGAAATATGTCGTTAATTGACTTTTATAAGTTGAGTTTTATCGACGGAATTACAAGTAAACGTTCTTCATTTCTTCCCTTCGTTTTCTACTTGTTTAAAAGTTAAAGTTTTCCTTTATTTTTTTACCATCTTAATGTTGTTTAAAGTATTGTTTAAACAGCAAAAAAAACAAAGGTATAACAACAACACCAGCTTAAACAACAGCTTTTTTTTTTATTTGTTTAATTAGTGTTCGAGCAGAGAAATTGTTGTAAAATTATTTTAATCCGGTGAAGATGGAAATTTTTAATGTTATAAACCTCTAACGCTTATTTAATGGGGAGATTATAACATTAAATAATTAACAACGATAAAATATGTAAGCCAGCATCGATCATTAATTACAATATAATCATTTAAGTAAGATATTACTCTGATTTAATATATTATAAACGAAAATAAATTCTATCGTAATTGCATGAAGACCACTTTTAGAAAAATCTTCAAATAAAGATAACTTCATATCTATTATGAAACATTCCATTATCTTCAAGAGAGAGAGAGAGAGAGAATTTTTAAATTTAAACCTGGAAATTAGTTACATAATCATCGTCTCGTATTTCATAGATTGACAAATTTTAATAAATGGTTCAGAAGAAATGTTATAAAAGAATAATGGAAAGTGAAATGAGGAGATTAAAGGAAAAGAATGGAGCATTATTGAAGAATGGTTGAAAAGAGTGACATAACCATTATTAAAGTAAGACGGATATTAAGTGTAAAACATTGTATGAATGCGATGAAAACAAGTCTATCAAGAAGCGATTGTATTCAGAACGTTAAAAAAAAATTGATTAAGTCTATAAGTCTTTATGCTACTGGTTTCCAAAGAGTAGTTACATATGTATATATTATAGTCGTCACATATTTCTATCATAATTTAGAGAATTAAATGACATTATATGATTAAAGAACAAAGAATACTTAAAAAAAACGACATCTTAATTAAGTTTTATAAATATATATTTATAAGAAATTAAAGCATTTAAAATTTATAAGATAATTTAAATCGCAAAATTAAGATTATTATTATTTTTTAGATAAATTATAAGAATTAAATATGGTTTTTATGTTTAAAATTAAATATTTTTAACTAGATTTTTTTAAATAATTTAAAGAACAAATTAAGGAAAAAATCTCATTGTTAACGAGAGATTGTAACGGCCCATTGTCCTGTGGGTTCTCCATGCCTGGGGGACTTCAGGAATATTTGTTACAGCCCTTGATCGGTAGCTCACGTAAACCCGCGAGCTTTATGTTATCCACTTTTGCACATTAAACATTATTCAATTTGTTAGATGGACATTATCCTAGAGAAGTCCGTTGCACATTATTGAGGCTGTTTGACAGCGTATGATGTGACTCGTTGCTTCGTGCATAAAGCAATTAATAAATAGAATTAAATTTTTATAATTAAAATATATGTAAAAGGAATTATTTTAATTATATTCGGAAGAAAATATATAATACACGTATTCAAGGTTAAAAATTACAAATTTTCATGTATAAACTATAATTCTTTGCAATTATAGATAATGAGATCTCAGTAATTTTGAAACAAAATTTGAATAATTTAAAGAAAAATAAATATATTACTAGCTTTAAAATGACTTAGAATCATCAGAAAAGTCGGGTGATGATGAGTAATAAATGGAACAATTTTTGTCTCTTCTAAAAAGAAAAATAAGTTTAATTTATTGTTTATAAAAATAATAACTTGAAATTCTAAAATATAAATAATTTTATTATTTATTTTAATAAAATAACATCTAAAATAGTAAATGACGTGAGACAGTAGATCTTTTCTCCCTAGAAACAAGACCCTTAACAATAGTAAGATAAAATAGGAAAAAACAAACTGAACATACAATAAATGCTTAAAAATTTAAAAAATTTTATATATTTATCAGTCAATTTTATCTTAAACAATGCATCAATAAGTCTTTACTCTCACTGATAGATTTTTACATCGGAAATTTCATCTGTTTATTCTATTTAAATTTAACAACATAACTTCTTATAACTGAAAAATACGGTCCTTTATCCATTTAATTTTAATGGATTATGTGTAATTTATTTACCGTTAAATACTCCAAATAAAAACGTCTAGCCGCCATCTCTCGGTACCTTTCGAAAATATCTTTTATAATACCATTAATAATAAACAAAATCAATGAATGATCTTATCGATTTTTTTTTTAAAAACGTTTCCTAATATTTAAATGAAAACGTTTATAACAATCGACAAAAATGATCACTTACGTACGACACGATATAAAAAAAAAGTAATAAAAACACGTTCTTATCTCTTTAATAGGTAATAAATAAATGTAGGATTAAGTAAATGATTTTCATTTAAATAACTCTACTGAATAAATACAGTAATCATGTCGAATAGCAAACGACAACTAACCTCGACATATCCCATCACGGACAGATCACGCAACCAATTTTGGACACGCATATACAGACAGACGTTTTCTTTTCTTTTCTTTTAAGTCTGACTAGTTCGAAGACGATGATCATTATTTTATCGTCATCCTAACACCAATATGTGTTTTCTACGGGACTGAATCGAGCTCACGTAGAGGTGGTATTTTACACGAACTATCTTGTTGTTGGCTAGTAACTCGAGACACCATAAACGACGTTTTGTAGTTTATAGCTTGAAATAAATCAAGCGATGAAGGACCGTTCCATATTTTCCTTCCATCTAGACTTATCTTTGACCCTGACTAGATACAGTTAAACAGCAGTTTTGTGAATATGTCTGTTAACCATGAACAATTCTACTTGGCTATTATACAAATAAAAAAAATGCTTTCATAATTAATAAATTCTGATCAGGATTAATCAAGTCGTTATCCAGATACTACAATAGATAGATTCGTATACCTGTAATAGTTTAAATTCCTTAAAACACTTGTGTTGAGCTTAATATTAAATCTATTCTTAGTATATTAAGCCCCTTTTGTTGTGGATTCAGTCTGTAATGATAAACTGAATACATTGAGATTAGATTGTTATTAAGTAAAGCTAAACTCAACACGTTGAGAATACTTAACAATTTCCAAGTGATTTATCGATTGTTTGAAACTACTTATAACAGAAAATGTTAATTTATTTATAAAAAAATTAATTTATAAGAGTATAAACAAGAATTTTAGTTCATTTATTTTGCTATTATAAATATAAATATTCATTCATTTGATTTTTTTAAAATTTATATACAACAGCTTCATAATTAATAAAGCAGTAGTTAATTCTGCTTAGAATTAATCGTGTTACGTTAAAATAAATATATTAAATTTCCGGTAATTTTATTCATTAATCAGTATTTAAATACAGTATATTTATTCCTTTTAAGAAACGTAATTTAAGAAGTATTTAAAGAAAATATACTATTTTTACATGCAACTTTCCACGCTCTTGTTTAGTATTTATTACTCTTACTCTACTTTTGTTATTGAACTACATAAAAGTCTTTAAATAATATTAAGTACTATAAAAATGACTACATTAAATTTTGAACTTATCCACGTTTATATTTGAGCGATTGCATTTTAATTATAATAAATGTATGCAAATTAAAAGCCATTTTGGTAATGTAATAGTTCTTATTAAAAGCCTAAACTATACTTTTAAAAAAAATAACATTAGAATTTTCCTAAGCTCTTTAATTAACTTCCAGATGAGTACAAATATGCGATGGGTGCTTGGAGATGCTTTGAAGAGGTGCATCTCAAGGTCAACAACTAGTAAAGTGGCTACTGTCATCGAGCTCCTACTTGCCTCCATCTCTTCAGTTTTCTACGGTTTCCCATAATTCACTTAGGCAGATGCTGAAATGGATTCTCGAAATCGGTCGTAATGCCCCTTTATCACGATAATGCCTATATACTATTTCGTAATAACTAGATTAAACTCGTTTAAGGCAGGTAAAACATAAGCAAAAATATAAAGAAATTTGTCTACTATAATTAATTTTTTTCTTAACTAAAATAATAATAATAATAATAATTGTAAATAAAATGTGTCAATAATCTTCATCTCTTCAACGAAATAAATATAAGCTTTGTTTGCTGTTACAGAATAATTTACATTATTAGAAAATGGAGAATCTCTGTGTTAATAATGTATAGTAAACACTTACTTTGGGAAATATTAATTAAGTAGGTATTAAAACACAAAGAATAAACCAAGATATTGAAAAGTAATTCTAAAATTTTGATAATTTTTCTATCATTTTTTTTTTTTATTTTAAACGTTCTGAATGCTAACACTTAAGTTAGAATGTATTATCGTTAAAAAACTATATAAATGATCCCATTTTAATTTTATACAGAATGATTTTCTATAAAAATTTAAACTAAAATCAATCAGAGTTTAAAAGTATTAACAAGATAATTAGACATTTGACTTTAATAACAATGATAGATGCTGGAAGTATTACATTAATTATCTCAATGATAGTATTGTCTCGAAATTAGGTATTCATGTATCACAGAATTAATAATAGTAGACTTTGAAAGATGTTTTTAAATTATTTATAGCCAAACTATTATAACAAAAGTTAAAATAGCTATAGAAAAATTACAAATATGAAGTGTATTGAAGTATCGTTTTACTATTTCGAACTCATTAACATTCTTAGTGATAAGATAACTATCTAATTTTTCAAAGAAAAATGTAGCAAATGCTATGTTTAAATTCAATTATATTTGACATCTCGCATCTATAGTCGAGTACTCTTGAGAAAATCTGCTAGATGTCTCTAACCTGTGATTTAGCAGGTGTTAATCAGTGGTTCCGTTAAGCAAGAGCGGAAATAAGAGGACACCTGGCAAACGCCATTTTTCGCCCTTTGTCTAGTTGAGTCGCAATGTATCTGTACTGTAGAACTCACCTAACTGGTGTACGCGTTGTCGGTCACTGATAGATGACAGTTAATAATCATCAGAATAAGAAGGGAAGGAGGAGCGACGCTTGTCAAATCTACACACAAGAATTTTCCTCAGTCTTTCCTCATTTAGAAAAGAATTAGGACTTTGTAGATAATAGACAAACTCGGTTATCATCCTCAACCTATAATAATTATTACACTAGAAATTTAAAAAAAAATAATAATAATAATCTGAGGTATTATATAAAGTTTAAACCTATTTAAAACTANATTAATAAATGTTTAATTTGAATAATAATTAACTATTTGGTGATTTATCTGTAAAGTTTATCATTACTTTTTTATGTATGCAACCTATACATAGCCTATATATTTTTTTATATACGTAATCTTGCAAGGTATAGTAGCATATATATGCTACTATGCCTTGTAAGATACACATTTTAAACTAAATAAATGTATAAAAATTATGTGTTTCGTCTATAATTAATGAAATTCTACACAAAATTTGAGCTTTTAATTAAGATTTTTAATTAGTTTTCTCTTAATTAAATTACATATTGAGACGTTAAAAATCAAAATTCATACATTCCATTATATACTTTCCAACAATATAAATTTTAGAATGAATTTAAAATTAAATAAAAAACATGGTCAGNTAACTAGAGATTACCAAGATGTGAGATATTTAGATGCTGATATAATTATAAATTTGTAAGTATAGATATAAACTTTTATGATATTTTCAATGACATAAATTTAGATATGGATTTAAAATATCTGTCAAAATATTTAAATCACAGATTAAATTTTAATTCGTCTACTTACCAGACTATTTTAAGTATAGAAAATTATAATAGATTGCATATAATTCGTTTATAATTTAACCAAGGCCTATCATTATATATAGGCCTGGGGTATAATTTCTAAATTTTTATTCATTCCTATCATGAGTTTTGCATATTATATTAATTACAAAATTTTCTTTGTTATATTATCTTCAATTTTCTTGAATGTTTCCAAGTAATTTTTTAAAAATTCTCTTCCACTTTCTAAGCATGTATAAGACTTTGTTTAGAATATTTTTTTTTCAAATTGTACGTTGTAAATATATAATAAAAATTCTAGATTTTAATCGTTGCAAAGAAGAAAAATTATTACTTTATCGCATTGAAAAATAGAAATTACTTTACCGAAACTTTAGGTAGTTGCATATGTCTATCTTATGGAAACTTAGTTCTATTGTTTGAAGACGGGAGACTAATAGTTTGAATGATTAAAACTGATATTTTTATTATATGTTTTCTAGTTTTTAATGTTATACAGAATTACTTTGAGATCAGATTACTGAGCAAAGTTCATCTCAGGAATCCAGATCTTTTTTCTTAACTGCCATCGGGTCAATGTGGAGAGTGAGAACGTGACATTTCTCTTCTATGTGGAAGACATGACGTCAGAGCTGTCCTATCTACTAAAGTACGAGTATGAAGCAATTTTATACGTTATTGCTAGGTCGGACATCATAAGTAATAAAAAAAAACTGTACAAATTTATATCAGAACTTTCGATCAAATCCAATCAAAACATTGATGATTGATAAACATAAATATGAAGTTTGTAATGAATAAGCTTTTTTAAATGACAAATAAATCTACCTTGATTAAATATTAGTATTTATCAACGTTTTTTAAATGTTTAGAAATAAAATTATAAGTCTTTCATATATATATATAAGCCTATATTCTTCCATAAGTTATTGTTTTATTTAATAGGAGATAGAGTTAAGTTCATTTCGAATGATGAATATTTGCTGTTTTATAGATAAAAATGTTTTTAAATCCTTAAATATTATCTTTGGATGATAATTGATATTAAAATATATATATATATACTCTTACATTTAAATCACTCCATTTTTATAAATACTTAAAGACTATTAAAATAATAAATTAATCGTTGAGTATTACGTATTATGAACTTATTTTGGCCATTAAACCTTTTTGGTTGTTTTTTTTCTTTTGTATATCTTTAAACAAACTTTGATCTCTCGTCGAAGAAGACTCTCTTCTCTTCTGCTGTTGGTGATAAAGATTGTTAGACGATATTAATGACGACCTTACCGCAACCTATTAAATCTGTGCTAAGGTACCAAGTAATGAGTAATGATGCTTTCCTGTTGCATACAGTCAAATCTCAACAGATGCTCCCTTGCTCATATTTCTCCTCGGTTGACAGGCAGACGTAACTTTCCAAAAACCGCTACACCACCTGTCTTTAATTTCTATCTGCCGCTAATTTAATATCGGTAAAGTTGAGTAGAAAAAGTTAAAATGATGGATTCTGTCTCTTCCACATCCAAAGACAGAAGCGACTCGGCTTCGCTTAAAAGGGAGTGTCCCAAATTACATCGTTTAAAAATCAAATTAAATGCATTCGGGATACGTTTCCCCCCCCCCTTTTAAATTATTATACTTATAAAATTAATTAGAAATATGTCGTTAATTGACTTTTATAAGTTGAGTTTTATCGACGGAATTACAAGTAAACGTTCTTCATTTCTTCCCTTCGTTTTCTACTTGTTTAAAAGTTAAAGTTTTCCTTTATTTTTTTACCATCTTAATGTTGTTTAAAGTATTGTTTAAACAGCAAAAAAAAAAACAAAGGTATAACAACAACACCAGCTTAAACAACAGCTTTTTTTTTTATTTGTTTAATTAGTGTTCGAGCAGAGAAATTGTTGTAAAATTATTTTAATCCGGTGAAGATGGAAATTTTTAATGTTATAAACCTCTAACGCTTATTTAATGGGGAGATTATAACATTAAATAATTAACAACGATAAAATATGTAAGCCAGCATCGATCATTAATTACAATATAATCATTTAAGTAAGATATTACTCTGATTTAATATATTATAAACGAAAATAAATTCTATCGTAATTGCATGAAGACCACTTTTAGAAAAATCTTCAAATAAAGATAACTTCATATCTATTATGAAACATTCCATTATCTTCAAGAGAGAGAGAGAGAGAGAATTTTTAAATTTAAACCTGGAAATTAGTTACATAATCATCGTCTCGTATTTCATAGATTGACAAATTTTAATAAATGGTTCAGAGGAAATGTTATAAAAGAATAATGGAAAGTGAAATGAGGAGATTAAAGGAAAAGAATGGAGCATTATTGAAGAATGGTTGAAAAGAGTGACATAACCATTATTAAAGTAAGACGGATATTAAGTGTAAAACATTGTATGAATGCGATGAAAACAAGTCTATCAAGAAGCGATTGTATTCAGAACGTTAAAAAAAAATTGATTAAGTCTATAAGTCTTTATGCTACTGGTTTCCAAAGAGTAGTTACATATGTATATATTATAGTCGTCACATATTTCTATCATAATTTAGAGAATTAAATGACATTATATGATTAAAGAACAAAGAATACTTAAAAAAAACGACATCTTAATTAAGTTTTATAAATATATATTTATAAGAAATTAAAGCATTTAAAATTTATAAGATAATTTAAATCGCAAAATTAAGATTATTATTATTTTTTAGATAAATTATAAGAATTAAATATGGTTTTTATGTTTAAAATTAAATATTTTTAACTAGATTTTTTTAAATAATTTAAAGAACAAATTAAGGAAAAAATCTCATTGTTAACGAGAGATTGTAACGGCCCATTGTCCTGTGGGTTCTCCATGCCTGGGGGACTTCAGGAATATTTGTTACAGCCCTTGATCGGTAGCTCACGTAAACCCGCGAGCTTTATGTTATCCACTTTTGCACATTAAACATTATTCAATTTGTTAGATGGACATTATCCTAGAGAAGTCCGTTGCACATTATTGAGGCTGTTTGACAGCGTATGATGTGACTCGTTGCTTCGTGCATAAAGCAATTAATAAATAGAATTAAATTTTTATAATTAAAATATATGTAAAAGGAATTAATTTAATTATATTCGGAAGAAAATATATAATACACGTATTCAAGGTTAAGAATTACAAATTTTCATGTATAAACTA